AGCAGCAGTACCAGCAGGAGCAAGAGCACCAGCAATAACACTTGCAATCTTCGCCACAAAAGATCTCGCAATTCACCGTTGTTGCCCGCTCCGGTTCACTATGTGAGTCTCTTCTTCCCTTCTTCCGTCAGCTTTCCTGGGCATCGTTTCTGGATGGGCTGGCGGGGATACTTTTTTGGTCGGCGGCCGCTCGACTACGGTCTGGCGGCAACAGGCGATGTCTGGGACGGCGGTGCAAGCTAATTGCACACACAGCGTGCGGTGCACGTGCACTGAGCAAAATGCTCCACATTCGCAGTGACGCACCTAGGCGCCGCCCAATCCAGAGCGAACGAGCGAACAGTGGTGCGAGTGCTACGGAGGGAATCGCCCATGCGGCGCCAATCTCCGAGAATCTTCCCAGACAGGCAACTAGGTACCAGCCCCGGGGACCGGCTGCTGGCGGTGGAGAACAAGGGCCGTCGGCGCTGAAGGCTGGACCACTCAGCGCGCAGCCAACGAACACCACCTCAGAGTTGTGGGGCTGGCGGCGACCGACGGACGAGTCGGCACCGGCGGAAAAGGCCCGGGAGGTGCGCCAGGAAACGCGGGCAGAGGCATCACTCTGGCAAGGCATCCCGTCACAGTCACCCTCACTTCGGTGGACACCGCCGACCTTCCGAGTGTCACAACGTCGACCCGCTGCGAAAAGGCCCCTGCGGCCCACAGAGTGCGCCTTGCGGAGATGGGGGGCGCAGCTAACCGCCGCAAGAGATACGTAACTTGATGGCAGCTGCACGCCGAGAGCGTATACTCGTGTGGGGGTGCAGCTAGCCGCCGCAGTAGTCACGTAAAAGAAGGGGGGGTGGCCGAACTGCGCCGATGCAGCCCGGGCTGGAGTGTGCCAGCGCCGGACGCGCCACGTGGACGGCCATGTGCAGCAGCATGATGCAACAAAGCTGGAGTTGTAACCTGTCAAAAAAACCGGCTGAGCGGCGCGCAGGGGGGCGACACTTTCAGGCGACTGTCCCCTGCTACCGGCAGCGGGCGGCTGTCAAGTAAACAGCACAGGAAGGTGCGCTGGGGAGGTGCATCTACGGCCGTCCCCTGGGCACCGAAAAGAGTGGCTGTCGCTGTAGGACAGCAAAGCAGGCGTCCCAGGGTGGGTGAAACCTAGAGACGCGGCCTGAGGCAACACTCAGGCAAGGCAACTCGTCAAAGTAGCACTCAGGCAAGGCAGCCCGTCTCAGTAACTCTCGCTTCAAAGGACTCCATCGACCTTCTGAGTACCACAGGGTCGACCTGCTGCGGAGAGGCCCACCAGTGCCCGCTGCGAGTGTATGGGGCGATCCGTGGATGGGGGGTCCTCCAAGCCGCCAGCCCGCCTGGCCACCCGCTCAGGCTGTTGCAGCCGCCGCGGGCGAGCCATGGGGGCACAGAGGAGGACGTCCACCAGGCCAGGTAGGCGGCGCCGCCCCACACCGTGGCCGGCCTGCGGCCACAAAGTGCGACTTGACGTGGAGAGGGGGGTGTAGCTAACCGCCGCAAGAGACACGTAACTTGGAAGAAGCTGCACGCCGAGAGCATCTACACGTGTGGGGGGTGCAGCTAACCGCCGCAGATGACACATAGAAAGATGGGGGGTGGCAGGTCTGCGTCGATGCGGCCCAAGCTGAAGTGGCTGGTGGGGATACGCGAAGCGTTTAGAATCCCACCAGCCCTCTGGGCGTCGGTGGTTTAGGGCGTTTCCTCTTCCACCCCTCCCTCTTCCCCTTCGGGGAGGGGTTTACCCCTCCCCCTACCCCCTCCCCACTGACCTGGACAGGAGGGGCGGGGAGCGGTCAGAGCGTCCAAAACGGCCTCGGCGAGGAAGCCTAAATCATTGATTTTACTATGGTTTTGGCCCCATTTTGGCCTTCTGAGGGGGCAGCGCTAATTAGAGCTCCCCTCTTCTTTGATCGGTTTCCTCCACGATGGCCGCAAGAGGCCCCCAGGATGCCCCAAGAGGCCGCAGGATGGCCCCAAGATGGCCCCAAGAGGCCCCCCAAGAGGCCCCCAGGAGGCCCCCAAGAGACCCCCAAGAGGCCCCAAGAGACCCCCCAGAGGCACCCAAGGTGCTCCCAGAGGCCTTTTTACTATGGTTTGGGCCCCATTTTGGCCTTCTGAGGGGGCAAAGATGGCCCCAAGAAGCGCCCAGGAGGCCCCCAAAGGCCCCAAGATGGCCCCAAGAGGCCCCAAGAGGCCCCCAGGAGGCCCCAAAGAGGATCCCGAACGGCCCACAGAGGCCCCCCCGAGGCACCCAAGACGCCGAAAAGCCCCTCAGGACGACCCTCTACTCGCCTGGGCGTCGTTTCTGGACGGGCTGGTGGGGATACGCGAAGCGTCTAGAATTTCCTACATTCTCCTGGAGATCGACGTTTATGTGTGCGTCTGTGTGTTTTTGTTCCCCTCCTGGGGGCCAGCGAATCAGCTCGCGCGGCTGGCTTCCCCCGCGCCCCCCGGCGGCGGCTGCCCCAGTGCATCGAGGAGAACGCCCAGCGGCGAGCCCAAAACAAACAGCTGCGTGCAGGGTTCGCGACCCTCCCCCCCCTCCTGTGCCAAGCCCCCTCCTTCCGATGCGCAAGGGCAGAAACAGTCCGCACCGAGCAGGGCAAGCGGATCGAATCGACTTGGGCATCGGATCGGGCTGCATTGGCACGAAGTCAGACTCGAATCGAATCGGCCGAGCCAGGATGCACTAGCGGCGCCACGCAAACTTCAGGCCGCATCTTATCACAGGAACACCGAAGCCGAATCGGATCGGGCCAGCCGAAGTCGATTTCGAATCGGACTGGTCGGATCGAAGTGGGCCCTGGAGGATCGACGACGACGACGGCCCGAGTGATCCTCATCGTGTGGCTTTCTGGTCATAGCTCGGGTCCCCTGCGGCCGTCCGGGACGATCTGGGCACCCCCGAAACGCTCTCGGCGAGGCGCAACCGCTTGAGGGCATCCCGAGGCCGGTAAACGCCGCCGAGAGCCGACGAAAACATGCCGTCCGCCCCTCGATCCTCGAGGATCGACGGCGGCAAACCCAGACATCTGATGACTTGTTCTTTCCCAGCCCTCCCTTGGTCGTTTTCTCGTTTCGAAGAGAGCAATGGGATCTCCAGTCCTCCGTTCTCCTCCTTCCGCCCTCTGTCCCCCTCTCACCTGCCTGCACCTGCCTTGCCGTCGTGGCTTCCCTTGGGGGGCTGCGAAATGAGGGACTGCCGCCACTTTCGTGGGCTGCTGGGGGGACTAGCAAAGCGGTGTCCTTGCGAAGTGTGGAACTATCGCCACTTTCGAAGGCTGCTGGGGAGGGGGGGGCAAAACAGTGGTGTCCCACGCAGATCCAAACGGGACCTCGCCATCCCTGGGAATGGGCTGCAAGATGTGCATCCGTCGCCACTTTCGAAGGCTGCTCGGGGAGCCCGCACAGTGGGGCCCCACGCGAACCCAAACGGGACCTCGCAACCCCTGGGGGGGTGCGAAATTTCAAATTGTCGTCATTTTTGAAGGCTGCTGGGGGGCAGCACAGAGGGGCCCCCCACGCGGATCCAAACGAGACTGCGCCATCCCTGGGGTGGGGCTGCGAAGTGTGAAAGTGTCGCCACTTTCTGGGACTGCTGGGGGGGCAACACAGTGGGGTGCCACGCAGAACCAAACGGGACCTCGCCATCCCCGTGGGGGGGCTGTGAAGTGTGAAACTGCAGCCACTTTTGAAGGCTGCTGGGGGGGGGGGGGGAGCACAGGTTCCACGCAGACCTCGAGGACCTCGCCATCTCTGGGGGGCTGCGAAGTGTGAAACTGTTGCAGCTTTGAAGGCTGCTGGGGTGCGCAACACAATGGGGGCCCCACACAGATCCGGAGGAGGAGGAGGAGGAGGAGGAGGAGGAGGAGGAGGAGGAGGAGGAGGAGGAGGAGGAGGAGAGGAGGAGGAGGAGGAGGAGGAGGAGGAGGAGGCGGAGGAGGCGGAGGAGGAGGAGGAGGAGGACGAGGAGGATGAAAAGGAGGCGGAGGAAAAGGCGGAGGAGGAGGACGGCGAGGAGGAGGACGACGAGGAGGGAGGAGAAGGAGGACGAGGAGTAGGACGAGAGGAAGGAGGCAAGGGAGACGAGGAAGAAGGACGATGAGCAAGAGGAGAAGGATGAGGAGGATGAGGTGTTGAGCATTTCGGCATGGAAAAAAACGCGACACTTCGTTGTCGAGTTGCGTCTCCTCCTGTGTAACCCTATCTTGCCCATGCTCCATCATCTCGCTGCTTCTGCCGAGGTGCTTGTTTTTTCCACCCCGATGTCTTCCTTTTGCTTCTCCGTCCCACCACAATGCCTCGCACGGTATAGCAATCCGCCGTGCACCGTCTCTTGCAGTGTTGCTGTAACACGATTGTCGGCACACCTCATATCATACCTTGGTGCCGATGGGTTGGGTACGCAGGATAATTTTCCATGCGTGGTCCCAGGAAATCCCGACCCTTCCCCCAAGGCTGGCTTTTCCTTCCGACCCGTTCTTCGACGGTCCCCAGGCCTGGCCCCCACGGCGCGAGCATGTCAGAGTGAGGGGCCTTACGGACTTACACAATCCCTGGGTGCGTGGATGACCGTGGCCTGGATTCTGCTTGTGTGTTGCTTGTTGTTGGGGCCGTCTGGGGCCAATCGAGGAGGTGCACACAGGCACCCACGTCACCGTCCGCAATGGCGGCTCATGGCTAATCCTGTGGGATGGGAACAATGAGCTGCGCGTCGCCTGGCCCTCCCTGAGGGTCGGGTGGCGCAAATTTTGAGCTCAGCTCATAACATGCCAAAAATGGCTCAAAACATGATACGTATGCAACAACAACATCTTCACATACCGTACACGCATGTTCTAAAAGCAAAAAACAAAAATTGTGAGGATGTCTCAAGCGAAGGCCGACGCGCGTAGCCAACATGTGAGGACGTCTCAAGCGAAACAACACCCTTAGATTAATTTTCCTGTGCGTTGTTCGCCATCGATCATTTCATGGTCACCTTGGTCGCTGCCATTCACGTTTGTCTTCAGGCTCAAGAGATTCTGGGCTTGGCTGGCGGGCTCGCAGAGGATCCTTGCGTCCCCCTCATGCCCCCGAAGGGGTTCCATGACGTTGGCAGCCTGGCGGATGTGATCTTGCCGTGCGCAAGCGAGCCCGACTTCGTCAACTACCACGAAGACGAGGAGAAGCCGATCAACAGGACGAGGGCGATGAAGAACGGCGAGATCCTGAAGGCGATCTACGGCTTGGCCCCCACGCTGAACATCCCTGGGGCAGTCATCAAGATGGCCATCACGAAGATAGCCGAGTCCAAGATCGAGGACAGCGAGTGGACCATGAACAAAGAGGAGAAGAAAGATATGATCAACACCGTGACGAAACGCTTGACGTTGCTCCTGAGGCAGTGCGCCAAGCCTCTTCGCGGTCAGGTCCCGTGGATCGTCAAGTTGTGCACTGACGAGGCCGAGGACGAGGACGAGGCCGAGGACGACCCTCAGGAGGAGGAGGCCCAGGACGAGGAGGCCCAGGACGAGGAGGCCGAAGCCGAGGAGGGCCCCAAGGCTCAGGAGGACAACGGCGACGCGATGGGCGACGACGCTGAGGAGGCCGAGGGCTCGCAGGAGGCCGAGGGCTCGCAGGAGGCCGAGGCCGAGGGCTCGCAGGAGGCCGAGGCCGAGGGCTCGCAGGAGGCCGAGGCCGAGGGCGAGGAGACCGAGAAGGGCTGCGACATCGGGGCCGAGGTCAAGCAGACCATGGCCAAGAAGACCAAGACGGGCCTCAAGGAGGACAAGAACGCGGCCAACTCGGCCTGGATCCAGGCGCTCGAGAAGAAGGACCGAGGCGGTGAACAGTTCATGGGGCCGCTGCGGCTCCTTCCCCTCCCCGGTGGCTCCCCCCCCATCCCCGATGACGGCCCCCCCCCATCCCCGATGACAGGTTTCGGGCCCAGCCGATCGACCGCCGAACGAACCGAATGAAATACGACGTGCCATCAGGACATATACGAGTACAAGTGGCACGAGGACGAGAACAAGCTCGCCAGGAGGAAGGTCGGCGCGAAGTCCAAGATCATAGAGTACAGCTGCCAGCCTTTTCGACCAGATGGCGCAGATGATCTGGATCCCGCCGTCGTGACGTTCCCTGACGGGTCGCAGCGCGAGGTGCCGAACGTGTTGTGCGGGTCCCTCGCCGACGACTGCACCGACAAACCGAAGAAGCGGGGACCCCTATGGGAGGATGGGAGCCTCAGAATCATGAGGAGGAAGGATCGCAACGAGAAGATCCTGCACAATCTGCTGGACACCAACCCAGCCCTGGACACGCCCAACGTGATCATGATCAACAGTGGGTTGTTCCCGACCCCTGAGGAGAGCCTCAACTGGATGATCGACTTGGCGAAGCTGTACAAGTCGGGGAAGACGCGCGAGGACCTGGATCGCGTCAAGGCCACGAAGATCAAGCAACTCACCGAGGCTGGCAAGAAGGAGTGCGCTGTGAGGAAGCGCCCTGCCGCAGCTGCGGCTACCGAGGCCTCAACCCCCATCAAGGCGAACATGAAGAGGCCTGCAGCTGCGACGACTGCCGAGAAGGAGCCGACGAAGGTCCCGAAGACGATCACCGAGCCTCAGTCGAGCAAGTTGGTGGGCCTGCAGTCGAAGCAGGACAACGAGGATCGAGGGCATGGTTAGGGCATGCAGGAGGATGAGGAGGATCGGAGGAAGCTATGGAGAGGGAGGGACGATCGAGGTTCGTCCTTCTCCTCCTCCTCCTCCTCCTCCTCCTCATCCTCCTCCTCGCACCTCATGCCTCCACCTTTGTCCTCATTGCCCTCCCTCATGTCCCCTGTGGGCGCCTCCTAGGTGGCCGTCTCCCCTCCCCCTCCTCTCCATCATCCCTATCCCTATCAATTTCGGACACCTTCGATTGGTTTCGGATCGCTTCAACGTAGCTTGATCGGAACCCGCCCGAATATCTTTCGAATTCGAAAGGGATTCGGGCGGGTTCCGATCGGCAGCCGATTGATACTCCTGCCCTCCACCAGCTTGGAAGGGAAGGGGAGGACGTCATGAAGCCGATGCCGCCGCCTGGCGCGTTCTTCTGGTGAGCTGAGGTGGGGGGTCGGGCGGGAAGCGGCAGCATGATCTGATAGCACGCCATCATGGGGAAGGACGGGGAAGGTATGGAGGGCAGGGGAAAGGGCTGGGAAGCAACGGGGAGAGAGGGGGTGAGGAGTGCGAGGGTAGTGGAGGATGGTGGGCCTGAAGGGGAGACTGGATGAGGATAAGAGGAGTCGCGACCCGAAAATCGGAGGGCAGGGACTACCTGGGCTGAGCGCCGTGATCGTGGCGCAGCTGCTGGACTGTCCTCTCGCTGCCCGTCAAGGGCCGCTGCGCCCGCCGTGCATTGCAGGGAGGGTCCAGCTAGGGAGTTTAGGGTGGGTCGACCACCGACCCTTCAGCGCGAAGCCAGGCGGTGGGCTGCTTGGCGCACAATGAAAACTTCAGGTCCCCTCTCGGCCAGGGCCCCCGAGGGGGCCTCGGGAAATGTTGCATTCTCGGGTGCTCCCCTGGGCTCCCCGGTGAGCCCCCCTAATTCCCTTAATTCCCTCCCTCCCTTCCCTGCTCCCTCCATCCCCTGCTCTCATCCTCTCCCTCGCATGCCGTCTCTCCCCCTCTCCATGTATCTATAGCCGTTGAGGCTGCAATCCGATTCGACTCCAGCGTCTAAGTTCCCCCCTGTATCTCCAACTCCGTGTGCAGATCAGCTTTCGGCCAGACCATCATGGACGGACAGCCGCTGCCCACCTGCTGGAACGAGCACCCTCCCCTCATCGAGGTCAGCGATTCGTCTCCTGAAGGGTTCATGTGGCCTAAATCTTTGGACCCCTGTGCCTACCCAAGACACTCTCATACTCTCCCCCGCCTCCTCCTCCCCTCCATCCTCCTCCTCTTCCTCCTCCTCCTCCTCCTCCTTGTGGTTTTCTGTGTTTGGAGTGTTGGCTGCCCCAGGCAGCGTGGCGCCGATGCAGCCAGGATGGCCCGTGCGGCCTCGGCGGAGCCAGAGGCAGTGCCCGTGCGCCGCGTGTGCTCAAGCGGGCGCTCATGGGTGCTCCGAGGCGGCATGCCGACCAGCCAGATGCCGAACGGCAGCTCCGAGCCAGTCGAGCGCTTGCCGCACATCGAGGGCCGCGCCTCGGACGACACGCTGCGCATGCGACTCGAGTTGGACGACCGTGCTGCGATGGAGGCTCAGGGTCGCGGGGGCTACTTGGCCGCCCCTCCGCAGGGTCGCGAGGAGACGTCAACCCTCGTGGAACAGGATGGGCCGTATGGGCCGCCAGAGCAGCCCGAGGGGATGCGCCTGATGCCGACGCGCACGGAGGTCGGCTTCGCGGAGCCGCAGCCGAGGCCGCGGCCGACGGCGGCTGGCGGGCCTCGCGCGCCGCAGATGGCTGCAGCCGTCAGGCAGGCGCCCGTGCGGGCCGCGGCCCAGGCGGGCGATGCCAGCGAGACCGAGACCGCCCACTCGCGGAGCCCCCGTCGCTCGCTCCCGCATGGCCCGTCTCGCGGCATGCAGCGTGGCGTGGGCCCCACGTCGCGCAGCGGCGAGCCCCCGGTGGCAGTAGCCGCGGCGCCAGCATCGCACTCCGAGGACGCCTTCTCGGCGATGTCGCAGCACGTGTTTCAAGATACACGCGACATGCCTCGCGAGTGCCAGAGCCAGCTGCCCGACCGTCAGCCGTCGATCGCCGAGAGCTACCACGATAGTGCGGAGGAGCAGCAGCTTCAAAAGATCGAGAGCCAGCTGTTCGAGCAGCAGTCGCAGACGCCATCGTCTCAGCACCAGGCGAGCGCGTTCTTGGTGCTCGCACCTGCGCAAGTGCCGACGCGTGCAGCTGGGGCCCCACACCAGCCGTCTGAAGCTGGGATGGTCACGCCACCGCAGCCGCTTGCAGCTGCGGCGCCAACGGAGCCGTCTGCAGCTGGGATGGTCACGCCACCGCAGCCGCCTGCGTCTGGGATGGTCACGCCACAGCAGCCGCCTGCAGCTGGGATGGTGACGCCACAGGAGCCGCCTGCAGCTGGGATGGTCACGCCACAGCAGCCGCCTGCGTCTGGGATGGTCACGCCACAGCAGCCGCCTGCGTCTGGGATGGTCACGCCACAGGAGCCACCTGCAGCTGGGATGGTCACGCCACAGGAGCCGCCAGCAGCTGGGATGGTCACGCCACAGCAGCCGCCTGAGCAGCTGGTCGCATTCAACTTCGACGACATCCCCAACGTGCCCGTGGATCAGATGGAGCTGACGCTACAGTACGTGATGGACGTGGAGCTGCCCAAGACGCCCCAGCACTTGAGGCAGCCAGCGGGCGACTTCACGCCTACCAAGGTCATCAACAAGCCTGGCACTGACGCGGTGCTGGAGGCTGGCCACTGCTCACCCAACCTTCGCGCGTGTTCATAGCTATCCGAAGCGTTGGTCGAGTTGGTGTTGGGGGATGGGTGGCGGAGGCGGTGGGGGACGAGCAAGAGCATGCAGTTACTCTTACTCACCCCCTGGCGCCTCCTCCTCCATAGACGCCAGCGCTTCGGATTGTTTTGACACGCGCATCGGGTTGAGTGGTCAGCTGCCGAATCAGGAGTGCCACAAGAATGGCTTCAAGGTAAACACTCGCGATGCGATGGGCCAGAGGTGGACCACCTACCTCGACAATAATCCCGATGAGAAAGCCAAGTACATGGCCGTCAGCAGTCTGCAGATCAAGGATGGGGGCCCCTATGCAATCGTCGTACCCCCTCTCCTCCCCCTCCTCCTCCTCCGCTCTGCCGTCTAATGCCTCACCCGTCGACCTCCACCTCCTCACCCTCCTCCTCATCCTCTTCCTCCTCGTCCCTCTCTCTGTCAGTGTCCCCCCTCCTCCTCCTCCCCCTCCTCCTCGATTGCATAAGCAGTTTCCCAGGCTAAAATCAGGGCCCAAGAGGACCCCAAGAGGCCCACAAGAGGCCCCAAAAGGCCCCAGCAAAGAGGCAGTCAGGAAGCCCCAAGAGGTCCTCAAGAGGGCCCAAGAGGTCCCCAAGAGGCCCACAAGAGGCACACAAGAGGCCCACAAGAGGCCCACAAGAGGTCCCCAAGAGGCCCACAAGAGGCACACAAGAGGCCCACAAGAGGCCCACAAGAGGCCCCAAGAGGTCCCCTCAAGAGACCCAAACGAGGCCCAGGGAGAGGGCACAGACAACACTAGGGGAGTACACATAACACGAACATAAGAGAAGGCCAACCCCCGCCTCACACGCATTCGGCGTCACCACGTTCCTAAGGGTCGGGACGATTCGAAAGGCGAACCCAACTGCCCCTTGGCTGATGCTCGGTCATCCCCCTCCTTAGCCAAGTCTTGGCTCAAGCGCGGGGCTCTCGCGTTTTTTGTTGCAATATGGGCCGCAAGAGGGCCCGTTCCCCAACTCCTACTCCTGAGTGGTTGTCTGAGCAGGCTGCTCCCCACGGCGTGCCAGACTGTGTGAAGCAGCTGTACGAGAAGGAGTTCAATGACAAGGCTATCACAAGCTACGTGGAGATGGTCGACGCTGTGTTCGAGGTCGGTGAGCGTGTCGAGCCGAGGGTGGCCCGTGACCTGGACGCCATCGAGATATGTTGTGGGTGGGGTCAGCTATCTTACTGGTGCCGCCAGAAATGCAAGCGAGTTTGGGAATTCGATCGCCGTCGTCACCCAGATGAGTCGCTGAACGTTGGCTTGGGAATGTTCTGGTGCGTGCTTCTCTTGCTCCGCGTCGAAGTGCGTGGCCTGATGTGGCTGGCCCCAGAGTGCTCAACTTGGACGTTCGTGGCGATGGGCCACACGAAGAGGAACATCGACATCAACGGGGCACATGCGACCAGAGATGACGTTCGCGATGCCAACGACTCATGTCTTTTCCTAGCCAGGTTGTGGCGCCTCGCACATGCGCGATCTGTCTGGGTCATGTGCGAGCAACCTGCCGATTCGTGCCTCTACCAGTTCCCGCCGTTCAAGAGCATCTTGGAGGAAGTGAATGCTGTCTCGGTTTTCACGTGGCTCAGCGGCTTCGGTCACGAGATGGCGAAACCAACGCGGCTTCAGGTATCGAATGGCATTGCAGATCTGTGCCAGTGCTTGATCAAGCCTAAACCTCCTGCGGGGTCGTGCGCTCAGCCCTACCACATGGAGGGGAAATTCCTTGTCACGGAGAAGGTCGCCCTCCGCAGCTCAGGCCACTACCCCAAGGCTTTCTGCAAGGCCATCGCCGACCTGCTCGACCCTTTCTTGGTTGCTGGGGACCTTGAGGACCCCAAGCTTGCATGCAGACAAAACACATCCAACCTCCTCCGCTCGCACACGTGCACCCACTCACCCACGGACGCGACGTGCCAACACGCGCACACAGACACGTACACACGCACGCCAACACACGTACGATGCACCACCCAGACCCCCGAGCAGTGCCCAGTACGCAGACCGCCCCGCACCCTCGCGCTCGCACGCACACCCACATCACAGAAACACGAACACACATACACACACACACACATGCGCACGCACGCACGCACGCACGCACGCACACACACACACACACATACACACACACATACACACACACACACGCACACACACACACACACACACACACACACACGCTCACACACACACACACAT